GGCTTAAGAAAAAAATGAATGAAGTAAACAAGAAAAACAAGAATTGCCAATTATAGAGACCACGAATAAAAATTATGCCAACATTTTATTGACCCTTACTAAAGAGTACTCCCAAATTTCCAAATTTTACCATGCCATGATAGGACACAATAATCCAAAATGCAAAGAAGAGTCTCATTTTGTAAAAAATGTTAATGGATCAAAAGTAATAATGTTGTTAATAACATATATAATTATGGAAATAATAACAACTACACGATCCGTTTCAATAAAACAAGTCCGTAATAACCGTTATTAAGTTTTAAAATAAATATTTACATTGTTCTTACTTAGCCATTAAATAGATTATAAGTTATAATTTGGTCATGACTCATGTAATATTAAGCAATATGCCGAAGTGGAAGCTGAAACGCTACTTCAGTCTCATCTCAATCCTTAGATCAATAGTTGATATTTTTACATAATAGTTCTGTCTGCTCATACAGTCATATCCACAACTATGATCCCCGATAGTTTTTTTTAAAATCTAATGGAGTCAATAGAGTAGTAACATTATCACGACCATAGTAGGATTTCTGGAACTCGATATATGCGCGATATAATGTAGCTATCTTGTTCTTATTAAAGTCGCTTTGAAAATCTTCGCAGGGTAATACTTCAAAATTTAAATAAACCTTTAAGTTTTTGATTTTACAATGATCAAAACCTAACATTGCTTTACTCATACTGTTTTTCCTATCTGTCTAAAATCCGTTTATAGCATACCGAGATTTTTCTAATTTCAAAATATGTGTGACAACACTTAAGCTCAGCATGGAGCTATTATAATTGGGATATACTTAGAATAATAAAATATTTATTTATAAATAATAAAATAATAATTATAATAATAAACATTTTATAAGGAACAGGTTGTAGTCAGTCGCGTCGCACTGGTCGGTAATATATAATACTGTTATATGTAGGTATACGGTTTACGTCGCCGACAACAATGTCATTCAGCTATAATTATGGTAAAAACAAGAATCCAAAAATACTATTGAAAAGTATAGATTCTTTTATTATTCTATTCAATAATGTCATACGAAAATACCATAAATAAACGACATTTTCCTAAAATCAATTTCGAAAGTTATAAATTATAACAGTAAGGTAAAAAACGGGATTAATAAGGTATAGATTTGAAAATACGGACCAATAGCGTCCTGAAAGAAGATTGTCAGGACAACAGAGTGGCGTAATTATGGGGGGGGAGATATGAGAATATATCTCCCCAGAGGCTTTTTTTTTTTAAGAAAACTATAATTAAATTCCCGTAAACACAAGTCTAGATTTTTAAATCCAAAACATCATAATTTCAGTTTTCAAGAAATTTAAATATCAATATAATAATAAATCAACTAATTTTTATTTTTAAAACCAAAGTTTAACTTTGTTTTGAAGCATTGGGAATTATTTTTATATTATATTCTTTCCAAATTTATTTATAGTTTTATTATTAATCATTTTCTATTATTATACCAATATGTATTTATTGTGATCGGCTGACTCGAATCTCAATAGCAGCTAATAGTGAAAACTGAAAACATGTTTCAAAGTTTCATAGTTTAAAATTATTGTTTATTTGTTTTATACGTGTATTTATTTTTCGACATTTGTATTTATTTCTCATCCGCGAACGATTCAAAATTATAAGTGTTTTAACAGCTTGTTAAAATGGATAAAATTTTCGTAAAAATATCGAAGTCAAAAGTAAGTATTTATTTTTTCCTTACATCATATAATTGTTTAGTACACATATTTAGTATGCATTAAGTTTAAAGTACTTAGCCCTTAAAATATATTACTGATTAATATTATATTAAAACTACAATTTACGTATATTTGATCTTTAAATTAATTATTAGGTAATATTATATTATTGAGAAAATTAAATTTATTTTGGTTTGTTGTACCTGCCTCAAATGCTGTGCAAAATGTTAGCTTAGGTATCTGAAGAAAACCTACATATCCCAGCAAAAAGATCAAAAATGGTAAATATAATTAATATTTAATTTCATATCATATATTTAATAGTCATATACAGTTTATTTAAATTATGTTTATATTATTTTAATATAATTAACAATGTTAGGATATTTCGTTAAATACTTCTATCTTGATTCAAAGTAAAAATTCTGTAACTAGTTATGTTAAATAAATAATAATAAATGTTTTGGTTAATTTGTGTAATATAAAAGTGATAAATATATATTTAAATGATGTTTGTTTTAATTGTATTGATCGTTTTAGGATATTCTACCAAATACCAAGGATAATCAAATTCAGAATGCTGTATCCAGTCAGATTAGTGCATCAAAATCAGATCAAACTACAAATATACCGTTGGTAAATAGATTAATTTAATTATTAAGTATTGTTATGTTATTGAGCACATTAAATTTATTTCGGTATACTGCATATTATAATATGCTTGAAATATGCATAATAACATAATTTAACATTATAGCTTAATATACTGTAACACATGCTTTATTCTTCTTACATTTTAATATTGAATGCTTAAGTAGTAATGCATAGTGCCATCAACATGATATAGGTTTATTTGTTCATAAACATGCTTTGACTGATGAAGATAAATATCTTGTAAGTTACTTGTTTAGTATATACTATATATTAATTAAAACATTTTCATAATACTTGGCTAATTTAAAAATTTAACTGTCAAGGATATTTTTTTATTTATTTATATTTAGAAGGTGCTTACAAATGTATGTGTACCACCGCAAAATTATAGATTTCCAATAATTGATAAAAATAAAAACCGTGGCCTAAGATTTCAATACAAATGGCTAACATATTCTGAGTTGAAAATGGGTGTTTTTTGTAAATTTTGTATGGTTTTTTCAAAGTCTGGTGATGTAAATAATCATCCATTAGATCAACTTGCTGTAAGGGCTTTAGATGAATAGAAAACTGCTAAGCAAGTTATTATAATTTAATATTATACTGCTTTCTTAATGTTTACAATATATCTCATTAATTTGCTATATGACTGTATTTTAGATTTTTCGTGAACATTCTAAAAAGCTTTATCACGTTAAAGCTAATTAGAAGTAATTGTGATTGTGAATTTAAAAAATTATTTAGTCAAGCAAAAGTATAAAATATATAGTTATTATATAAACATTTATAATAAGCTGAGTACAATTTGTTATAACTTATAGGACATGTCTGCTAAACTAGTCATTGAATTAATACTCAAAAGAATTATTAAAAAACAAAAAAACCGTGCGAATTCTATAACAGACAGAGTTAAATGTAGAAACATACTATAGGATAACAATTTTTTTTATCTTATCTTGATTATTTTATAACTGAATTTCAAGAAAGGTTTTTGTCTCATTCAGATATTTTAAAAGGAACAATGATGTAATATAATATTTATAAGAATTGCATATCATTATATAAATATTATTAAAAAATAATTAATTCTTAATTATATTTATGTAGGGTTTGAATGCTTATTTTCAACAAATTCAAATTTAACTAAAGATGAAGAATTATCATTCAAAAATTGATAGAATTTTACAGTTCTGATGTAGAATGTTTTGACAAATCATTATTTGAATTAAAATTATGGAAGCGTAGATTAATCAAATGTGAAAAGCTTTCAAAATCTAGTCTCCAAGCACTCATTATGTGCAATGAACAAATGTATCCAAACATATTTTTACTCTTAAAAATATTATGTACATTGCCAGTCTCGACCACTTCGCCAAAGCGTATGTTTTCCACTTTGAAAATAGTAAAAACTTATCTAAGAAACACAATGGGTCAGGTAATATCATTATTTTTGTAAATTACATAATAATTATGAACTTTTATTAAATCAAATACTTAATAGGAACGCTTGAATGGACTTGCAATGTTATCTGTGCACCGAGACATTGAGCTGAACCCCGATCACATACTAGATATTTTAGCAAAAAAAAACTAAAAAAAAAAATTAATTTAATATTATAATTTATCAAAAATATATTAAATTTAATTTAATTGTTTACTCTATTGTCTTTGAAAAGCATTATTTTATCATTTACCTCATTTAATTTATAATAATAAATTAATATAATATTATGATCTATGAGATTAAATGGTCAAGGGGGGGAGGGCATAGACCTCCACTAGAACGATAATATAAACTTATATCCCACCCCAGAACCAATTCCAAATTACGCCACTGATAACTGCACGTTGTCGTGTCGTACCTAAATCTGGATATAATATTTTACTATTATTATTATACTGCGTATAATATATACTCGATTGAGCTATATCGAGAGCAAAAAAAAAAAAAAAAAAAATAATAATGAAAGAAAATAAAGGTGATAAAGAATCTCGACCGACAAACGTCGATGTGGAATGCTGTACGACATCCCGTTTATAATGACCGCAATCGCGTATGGACCGATTGCATGGAGTGTAATATAATAAGGTATAGTAATAATAATAAAGTGTAATGCTTTATAGTAATTCGCGTAAGACACATTTCTCTGGATTTTGAAACACGAAATAAAAAACAACAACAACACAGAATTTCGTCCGTTTCCAATTATGTTATCCCTCCATGGCAATTTTTCACGCTGGTCACGTTAATACCGTGAAGCTGGTTTCGAAAGAAGAAAGTACGATACATACCTACTTGCCGCTTGTATACCTGTGCCTATATTATAATATTATACCTTTAGATCGGTTTCCGCACATGTACGTATTAAAACTCTAACCGCTATTAATAAATTTCTTCGTGTGTACCTACAACCTAATATACTATCACTAATACCATTATTACTACTACTACTACTACTACTACTATTACCTACTACTGCTACTACTACTACTACTACTACTACTACTACTACCACCATTACTGCTATACCATTAGCTATATACTATCATTTCTGCTACTGTTACTACTACGATTATTATCACTTTACTGTTGCTACTGTAACACGCGTTGTCGCCGGAGACAGAGTTCGTCTTCACTGCCGCGAACACCGAGCGTTAAAATGTCCGATTCGTCTTCGATTACGATGGTAAGCGAATTTCATTGATATTATTTTCACTTCCGTGTTCTGTGTAAGTCGATGTTCTGCGTTTATTTTGATTTAGTCCTGATAGTAATTATAATAACGCATTATAATGTGATGTTTGTCGTCTGTTATAATTTTTCTTAGCACATTTCTACTTATAATATATATGGGCAGTTAGTAGTTACGACTATTCGGATTTTCATTTATTCCATAATTATCAAACAAATCACTTATTATTTCTAAATAGTCCTATAAAATGTACAAGTATGATTTAAATTATTATTTTATCACTCGAAATCATTCATTTGTGTGGAGCTATAGCAACGACAATTATCCGATTTGTAAACTTAACCTTTTTTACATAACTTTGTCAATACAAACACCATTAACTTTAATGCTAAGCCATACAAAGTAAACTTTCATTATGATAATTAATCTTTTTATTATTTCCATTAGTCGGTTTAACATAAAAAAGTAAAAAATAAATACCTACCGCTAGTGTTTAAAAATTGATAAAACGTTTACGATCGTCGTTCATATTCAAAATAAAGTACCAACATTAAGAAAAAAAAACTTTCTTTTTAAAAGTTTTACACATCTTAAAGGTACCGAAGAGGAAAATGTGAAAGATGATCCAAAATATAATTTAAAAAGTGTTGGAATACGAAAAAGTATGTGTTATATATATTTACAAACATAAACGATAATAAGTGTTTATAAAAAAAACAACATTTTGCTTTCGGTTCAGTAAGTTGACATGTTTTTTCATCACATTTATAGATTTTCTGATGGTTTTAAATCAGAATTTTCAGAAAGGTGAAAAAAAAAACAAATATTATTAAACCGTTTTTGTAATACACTTTTTTCAATTTATTAACTTTTGATAGTATGCACATCTTGTAAATCAGATAGTATTTATATAAATAGTTGAAGTATTCCAATTTTCATTCATTGTGGTTTTATATTCTAATGAACAAAACCCCTTCGTTACTGAAGTACCTATTTAATACGTTTTTCCTGATGTTAAAAATATATTTATTCAACATATTTATCTACCGACAACAGTCAAATACTGAAAAAATATATAAGTACGTACTATGCTAAGCGATTTTATCTTGATTATTTTTTCGAAATTTCGCTCATTTAGAAAATATTTTTACTGTTTTAATTTAAAATTCTATCGTAGGTGCAGTTAAAATTCTTTAAAAGCTATATAATTTTAGGTGTTAGCAAAGTTATAGATCAATAACATATTTATATATTATATGAAATATAATTTTTGCAAGGTTTTAAAGTAAGGTGGTCATTTGAAAACAAAAAATTTCTAAAAACCGCAACGTTGAAATAATAGCAAACTCATATGACATTTTTTTAGCACCGCAAGTACGTTGACCCGTGGGACCTAGACCTGCGGGAGGTGTCGTGGAGACACTCGAGTGACACAACAGACTGTTCGGCTGACCACCAAGTCGTATCCCTGTCGTCAGCGGCCGGACCTGTGTCTACACGATCCGATTTTGTGTACGTACCGGGTCCGCCAAAAAGCAACAAGTCAAGCACCGGTAGAACGAGATCTCGATCGGTAGCCCGGTACGATTGCTGCCGATGTTCGCCGAGTTCATCATCTATGGCCCTCGTCCCGCCCGATTCAAGTAAACATTTTATCGTTATTACGAGTTAACAATAGCACACACTATTCGCATTTTTTTTTTTTTTTTACGAGTACATAAAATTTCACGAAATATTTCTTTTATCGACTATGGTAGTAAGCTGAAAATTGTATTAACGTTAGTTACTAATTCGTTTTTTCATGTTATTTTTATTAAGTCTCTAAGATTTTTGGTAAATATGTAATTTTCATTATTGTCATTCTACAGTTTATAGGCAATTTAATTTTTTAATTTGTCTATAATAAATCAATGTAAAAAAAAAAAAAAGAATTATCCTTATCAATAACAATCATTTTTCAAGTCATTGAAATGAATGTGTATTTGATTTCTATAATACACCTGCATGTAAAATATATTGTTTTATCAGTTCACTTCCATTATATACTATTTTGATACTAGGTCGAGTTACCTTAAAACTCATAGTGCCATAGCAAGAGTGATCAGTGCTATCAACTACTAAGTAAAGCTTAGAAAATTTTAATTATGGTTTCGAGAACTCGTTTATATGAAAAAGTCTTCTCTTTTATTGTTTATATTAAAAACAATACTGAAAAGCACATAGCAAACATTGAGCCCGAACTACAGTTTTCGTATATTAAGTCCAATGTTTAAAAATTGATGTCAGAAATAGAACATCATGGCTTTCACATTTTAAAGAATAAAAATTTAAATTAAAAAATTAAATTAAAACAGTAAATTTTTGTATAAGATTAAATTAATTAAAAATAATTATGAAACGATTATGTTTAACATAATATTTATACTTAGCATATTTAACTTATATGATTTGGGATATTGATTATGATGATAACATAAGGTTTATTGAGAACAGTTTGGTAAAAAAAAAAAAAAGATATCCATTAGAAAATATATAAGAAAAGACCTCCACAGTTTAAAAAAGTCAATGAGGTAATTAAGGGGTAACCAGATGATTTAATCAGGAGTCGACGTACAGCACAATTTAAAAGTTTTAGAACTTATCTTCTATTTAATTATTTTAATTGGTAAATATTGATATGTTTATTGGATAAATTCGTGATAGTTTATAACTATTTGTAGGTATCTAATTAATATAAACATTAAATATTTATAAACATATTCAATCTCGTCCGATTTTTTCTAAACATACTTGCCTTATTTATTTGTATCAATTATATATTCATGAAATTCTAATTTTTTAAATATCTTAAATATCTACTATTACTCTTAACACCACATTTTTTATGATTTGTTACGGTGTTTAAGGAACGTCCTGATGAAATTATTTAAATGAGCTTGATAAAAAATTCACTAACTGACCATATTGTAGTTGAAGAACAGGGCAAATTTTGATTAGAGTGGGTAGTGTAGCAGAATAAATGTTATATAATTTAATATAAGTATACCTACTACATTATGTACTCAAATAGCGATATTTTTTTTATATTTATCATTTATTACTGGGACTCATACACATTCAAAAGTTTAAGATAAAATACATTTTTTCAATATTTTGTTGTTATTTTTTGCTTATACAAATTTAAAATATGAGATCTGTTATTTTTTATCTATACTCATTAAGAGGACAATATTAGAAATAAGAAGTGCATATAGTACATTATAGACAAACAGAATCTCATTTGGTAACCGTTCGTAATCGTATTATAAATTTATTCATGCGCAATTAGAGATTTCAAATGCTTGTAAAATAGATGCCTATTTACGATAAACTTTAATTCAATCATTTCATATTGTAATAATAACAATAATAATATATTAATATATAGGGTGATTCATCTAACATTTTAAAAATGTTTAAATATACTTTAAGACCATATTTTAGTTAAAATTTTGATACGTTGATATTTTTAGAAAAATTAAATAAATTTACAGACAAAAAAGATTTTCATTTTAAAAACAGAAATGTGCATTTCCATATGATAACCCTAAATAGTAAAATAAATCTCAAGTATTTAAAAATATAGTCTTATTGTATTGGTATGTTTAAAATTTACATTAACCAGATTTTGAATAATTGCAATATTGAAGAAGAAAAAAAAGAAGTGATTATGTTTGGTAAATCACTTAATACATCGCAATATTAACTCGTTTAATGCAATATTGGTGTCGATATTTTGAACGCAATGATATTTATGATATCGGAGACTACTGGACACTTAATTAAAAATTACTTTCGACATTTTTCATGCTTACAATTCGTCATTCTTTGTCAAGTATACGTCAAAGAAAATAAATGTGTATCAAAGGGTGACACGTTTTCAAGTGGTCAATACAGTTGTAAATATCGAATAATGTAAAATATGGGTTTTACGTATATAAGTTGTTTGTAAAAAAAACTGATTGAAAATGAAAATAAATGATTTTTTTTTTTTTTTTGAATACACAAAATATCTAAATTATAATTGTTTTATAATATTTTTAATTATATATAATTTAATATTAATGTACAAGTATATTTAATTAAAAAAATTACAAAAAGTTTATGAGTAGATAATTCAAAATTTTTCTTTTGAAACTTTCTAACTTAGACTCAAGTACTTAAATTTACTGTGCAAATAATTTAAATTACATTTCACGTTTCTGTTTGTGATTGTCTTAGACGAAAATCTATACGAATATTGGGAAACTGGTTGCAAACCACCATCGTATTGCAAGTACTCTTCGGTAGATCACCATTTCTACCCTATCGTTTGTGGATCTTCGAAACAACAATGTCGTCTACTATACAATGTTTCCAGGCCGGAAGTCCGCCGGAACTCGCGTTACGACAATGGGTAAGCTCACGTGAATTTTCATTAATATTATTAATGTATAAACATATATTATAATATGTTATCTTAGAATGAATACGCATATTTTCAGTTCTTGCAAAATCACTGTTCATCCTGTTAAAACTTATAGATTAATCATCATTAATCATATTTTGTTCACATAAAAACTAAAATGTGTTTAGATGAGTATTATTCAATGAACTTGAATAAAAATCTCTGTTCCGAGTTAGTCGATAAAAATTTTTAATAAAACATACTTACCAAGATAATATTCCAATTTTAAGAAAGATGCTTATAACACTGCCATTAATTAACTTCTTGGTTGTCAATTAACTTATTGTCAGTTTCATTTGGTAAAAATGTATAATACTTTAGATAAATCTAGAAACGTAAGACTTTGTTAAAACAATATAGTAATAATATGATAAGTTTACTAACTAGTGATAATATATTTTTTAACTTGAAATATTCCAAACGAACCAATAAAATAACTAATAAGTGATAAATATGTAGAACTTATAACAATAGCTCCAAAATATAATGACATTAAATTTACAGATTAATAGTTATATTCTTGAAACATGTTTCTAACAAATTCAATTTTTTTTTCTCCTAATATAGTGACAGGACAATCTTATAATAATCTAAATATTACCAATGGGTTTGAGGCATTTTACTGCATTATATTGTATAGTTTTATTCAATACATCTGAGTATCCATCTGGTTATTAATTTTTTATTACGAATTTAAATATCTAATACAAAAAGTAATGTTGCGGTAATATTATTGTCAATATTTAATAAAAGCTCATTGAGTCTTATTTAGTTAAATTTCATTATTAAATTATAAGAATAAAATACATATCAGTGGGACTGCAATAATGTAAGGCAGAAAATATAATTTTAGATTTTAAATTCTAAATGAAGCAATTAATGTATTTGTTTGACATTGATCTTGTGTTTTTTTTATGCCTGATATCACCCTTAGGAGAAATAAAAATGTTTCAATCTTCAAGAAGTTTCTGATAGTGAATTAGATCTAATTGGTACTAAAAAAGAAGGAGGTGAAAAAATATTTATTATCGACCTATTTTTAAAAATATTTAGGTTAAACATAAAAAAAAATATATATATATCGTAGAAAAAAAATATTTACCCATCACCAGTTTTCGTTATAATCGATTTTGTTTTTATATTGTAATTCAAAAATAAATAACCGTAGATACGTACTTGAAATATTCACCGAATATTTATAATAGTCTTTTAAAAAAAAAATGTAGTTCATAAAATAATCTTGAATTTTTTACAAGTACAATTTAAACTTTTTTGCTTATTTTCAAAATTGTTATTGATTATTTATAAGAATTTAGAGATCAAACTTTGACCTAGTCTGAAATAATCATAAAAATGTTATTTTAATTAATTTGTAGTTTAAGATATATACAATTTTTGATTTTAATATCTAATGTTTGAAAATGTAATTAATATTCCTCATAGAGATAGTTTATATTGAAATAAAAAAATCTAAAAAAAAATATCCACAATTTTTCAAAAATATTTTAAATTAAAATTTTGACAAAACTAAATATTTAAATGAAGAATTCAAATAAAAGCACTAAAAAAAAAAAAAAATAAAAATGAAGAATAACGGGTTTATTTGTTATTTTACTGTAATTCAAAAAATATTATTTTCAAGGAATTGAAATTTCACATCAATACATACATTAGTGTCTTATTTAGGTACTATAAATAATAAAATATTCATATTATTTATACTGCGAACCGATTTACACTATTTTATAGAACGTCGATTTTGACTTATAGATTAATAACACTTGACACTTACTTTGTATCAAAGTGACTTCACCAGGTTTTTATTTGAAATATTTATAATTTATTTATTTAATAAGCGCCAAATTTAAAATACAATGAAATAAACATAATTTGTAACTATAACAAATTTAATATTCAAAGATATTCACGAAAAAATGCATTGTGTAAAATTTCACCTTAGCAAATTTTCTTTTTTTCCATAACATTCACTTAACACATTAGGTATGCCTATTCATCCAAGTCATTATACATTTTATAAACTCTTAATCTAAACGCAAACTACTCCATTAAGTTTACTGCTTGAGATCATACTAATATCAGTGGCTCTTATAGAGACGATATCACGAATTCAATATAATACAACTTCATCTCTCTTTTCAGCAGTAATTTCTATTAAAGTAATATTTACGAAAATTAGTTAATAAAAACTATAACTGTAAATTTAATAATAGGTTAGAAGGATCATAATCAATTTTAATAACAAATTCTAATCGTGCTAAACTAGTGATCCTCGACTGCAAGTTATTATACTGTAAATAATCCTCTAGAGTCTAAATGGTAAATATGGATAAATAGGAAGTGTGCTGTAATAAAGCGAAAAGTTCAAAACGAAAATAAAAAAAATCCAGATTTGTGTACGTATAAATTAGACTAGTACTCGTTATTACTCTTCAGCGATCCGATAACGTCATTCAGGGTAGGGTTCGAGAAATAAATCCTAAATAAATCCTAAATAGACATATATTCATGCAATATTATTATAATACAATTTTATGAGCATGGAAAAGAACACAAGATGATCGTTTTTTACATCCTTTCCTTTTTATGTATAAGACTTCGACGTTTATACACGATGGCTTTCTAAAAGTATATTTCAAGAATAGACATGCTGTTAACGTGATCATTAAAATGTTTGATTTTTTTTTCAATACAATAAGAATAAAAAATTTTATCAACATTAATAAATCTTAGTATTGGGTCAAATATCTATCGTTATCTGTAGAGTGCTTTTATTAAAGAGTCGATACTTGATAAAGATCATTTTATCGAAATAATAATAAAAATCGTCTTAAATATGTATGCTAGTCGTAGTGTAATATTGCAAGATAATCTAAATGAAATATGTATCGTTTAATATTAAGTAATTTTTTATTCAAAAAAAAGCCATGTGTTATATACTTCATTGATATATCTAAACTACAAATTAAAATACTAAATTCTTAAATATAGTGTATATCAGCTTTTAATAGTATGCACGTATTACACGTGTTATAAATATTGCCAATACCAAATTTGTTTTATGCAATTATCAATACTTATAAATCTTTTCTAAAAAAAAAGTAAAATTATAATACCAGATTTATAAATAGAAGATTAAAAACATCTTCTATCTCACTTATAAGTTATTATTTATTTTGCATATTGTGTATTTTATATCTCGAGTATTCTTTTAATTTTTCTTACGTGAAACTATTTTTGCCTTGCAATTGATATTTTAAATTTATTACAATTATAATTAGAAACTGACCTTTGAATATTATATAAAAAAAAATAAATTATTTTCTTTGTATATATATATTAATCGTTTGTATTACACCGCTTATATTTGATAATGTTATATAGGAAACCAATAAATATATATTATGCGACTTATTGTGTATCTAAAAATTAAGACAATTTTTAAGACTCTGAGCAAAATAATTTTGAGAGAGATCAAAAGTAAACATTTTCTCAGTGCTTTTCAATATAACCAAAAAAAATAAAATATTCACGCAAAACCAGTATTTATTTATAACAATAAAATTTTACTTTTTTTTTTTAGATAACTCTAAAACTATTAACTTAAAATTGTCACCAAATGCTTGTATTAATATTTTCTAGTAGAATAATTTTGTTAATAATTTGTCTCTTTTTAAACTATTTATAGACTTACGAATTTAAAATTTTTATGTACCTATTGACATTAATAAAAAATCTGAAAGTCAGAATGTTTGAAAATTGAATGTAAGATTTTTTTTATAGGTTTTTTTTATAACTATTTAATAATATTAAAAATATAATATAATTACAATTTTATTTTATAAGCAATTTAAATTAAAATTTTTGATAAAATTCGTCAAAATCACAATAATTTACAAATTATTTTGTTTAGTTAATATTGTTAATAATTTTTAGCAATGAATTGAAAATTTAAAATAAAGAATTATAGTGAAACCAAACTATATAATATGCAAAATTAAATAATTAAATGAAAAATAATGAGTTTAATTATTTGTTATCAAAAATATTATTTATAGATTGAAACTTTTGACTTTTATGTATAGTATTATATTTTATACACACAATTCCATTTTTAAATTCAATGCTTAAAAAAAAAAAAATAATTCAAACTATTTATAGAAAAATAAAATAAAATATTGGATGACAGGCCGTCTCCTCTCAGAATCGTTTTCGTTCGTAATAATATACCATTTAATTTAATTCGAATTTAAAACACACGTTACAGTGATAAGATCACTCATCAATTTCTTATGTGGTACACTTACTATATACAATAAAGCGATTTCTATTTTCTACTCCCTTTCTGATTATTGATTTTGATTTTTTTTTCTGCATACGCGTTTTCTTGGGAAAAGCTGCGCTTGGGATTCGGTAGATTTGATGACTTGTTTGATACACTCTCGGGAATATTCCGAAAATATGACGTAAGTCTCCATGCCCCAAATCTCCGCATCACGTTTTTAGAACATAATACATCTCTCCGTGCTTCCTTGACGACAGGTGTCAGGTTGTTAAATCGTCAACACGCCTCCAAGTATATATTGTACTTAGACGGGTGAGGCACGTGCTTCCTCATGAATCTGCATAATATATTATTATCAAATCGAACAAGAATCCGAGAATCCGATCGAATTGCAAAATGTGTGACGTTAGTTTTTGTCGGCACACATGCACAAATTGCACAATATTATACTAAAATGCATTTTATATTTTCCGTGCAATGGTGGCGCGGATGCGCGATGTGTTTTGATCGATTATTGCGCGTACCGTGACAGGAGGAGAACGCTTTATAATCGGCTTATAAAGTATTTTCGAGTTGTTATGTCTATTTCGAGTATCACCCTTTATAATTTATTATATAGGTAAACACACATACGCACGTGTAGGTG